CACCTCAGCCTCCCAAAGGCGCGGGATTACAGGCTGAGCCACCGAGCCCGGCTCCTTTTTCTTTTTTTAAATTTTAAAGATGTGGGGTACAATTCAGGATTAGGTATACAAACGTTGATTATGCAGGTACCCTTGTGGATGAGGTGGGCCCCTCCTTCCCCTGGCAGTTTCATTCGACTGCCAGTCCCAACCCCCACTCCCATCTTTTTAGGAGAGCATCAAAATCACCATTAAAGCACTGGATCCATTTCCTTCTCTCATCCCTCTGGCCACCAACATCAAACATGCTGTGGAAAAGCAAAGGAAGAAATTACTTGGGGGAACTAGGAAACAACGTCATGAGTTTTGGCTTTTCTCTTTTGCTCTCAGACGGTTCCAGCCATTCACACGTGGGTCTTGAGTCGAGCTTTTGCCACCTGCACCATCATGCCCTCTGTGATCCTGGACTACAAGTGACACCTCCTTTCCCAGCTGCGGTGTCTCCTGTTTCCCTGACGGAGGGGGGCAGGGGGACAACTACGGGTGAGAGATCATGTAAACAGCAGCTGGCAGTGTCCGCGCTCACACAGTGGGTGCTTAATAAATGCAATGGGCTGTGCTTGGTGGCTCAGCCTGTCATCCCAGCACTTTGGGAGGCCGAGGCAAGTGGATTGCCTGAGTCTGTGGGTTCAAGACCAGCCCGGGCAACGTGGTGAGACCTCATCTCTACAATTTAAAAAAAAAAACTACCTGGGTGTGGTGGTATGTGCCTATACTTCTGGGTGGAGAAGCAGGGCTGCAAGTGGGAACCAATCACTGGTAGAGGGCTTGGGCTATGGGGTACACAGGCAAGAGTCAACTCCTGAACCTTTTTGGCAGAGGAATAGGATAGTCTGACAATTATGTTCACAAGCTCGCCACCGTGCGCATACGTTGGCAGCACTGTACAAGCGTCTTTGTGAGGTTTCATAACCTTGGTATATCAGTGTCTCACAGCTGTGTTTATGTTGATGTGTGGTGGTGTCTTGGTGAGTGGTGTTCACTTTTGTTGTTCCATGTTTCTGTGTGCTGTTGTGAGAATGTCGGGGCTTGAATTAGAGCAATGAACAAACATCATCATTTCTTGTTAAACTTGGCAAGAGTGGAAGCGAAATCAGGGACATGCTAGTCCAAGTTTACAGGGATAATGCCATGAAGGAAATGGCAGTGTACAAATGGATTAAACATTTTTCTGAGGGGAGAGAAAGTGCCACTGATGAAGAGATGGACAGTAATGAGCAGAACTGATAAAAAACATTGCAAAAATGCATCGAATTGTGTGTCAAAACCATTGGCTCACTTTGAAAAGCATAGCAGATCAAATAAACATTGACAGAGAAACAATTAGGAAAATCTTAACTGAAAATCTTGGCAAGAGAAAGGTATGTGCAAAAATTGTCCTAGGCTGGGCATGGTGGCTCAGCCTGTAATCTCAGCACTTTGGGAGGCCAAGATGAGAGGACTGCCTGAGCCTAGGGGTTTGAGAGCAGCCTGGGCAACTTGGTGAGACCTTGTCTTTACAATACATCACAAAAAACTAGTTGGGCATGGTGGTGTGTGCCTGTAGTTCCAGCTACTGGAAGGCGGAGGTGGAAGAATCACCTGAGTCCAGCAGGTCAAGGCTGCGGTGGCTGTGAGCATGCCGCTGCACTCCAGCCTGGGTGAAACGAGTGAGACTCCAACTCAAAAAAAAAAAAGGTCCTGAAGGAGTTCTTGCATCACGACAATGCACCAGCTCACACAGCACTGTCTGTGAGGGAATTTTTTAGCCAGTAAACAGCTAACTGCATTGGAACACCCTCCCTACTCACCTGATCTGGCCCCCAATGACTTTTTTCTTTACCTGAAGATAAAGGAAATATTGAAAGGAAGACATTTTGATGACATTCAGGACATCAAGGGAAATATGACGACAGCTCTGATGGCCATTCCAGAAAAAGAGTTCCAAAATTGCTTAGACGGGCAGACTAGGCACTGGCGTTGGTTCATACCTTCCCAAGGGGAATATGCCAAAGGTGACCATAGTGATATTCAGCAATGAGATATGTAGCACATTTTCTAGGATGAGCTCATGAACTTAATTGTCAGACCTAGTAGTATGATCTGAACCGTATTTTGGGAAGGTTCATTTTGTGACAGTGAACAGGGCGACTGGAATGGGTAAGCTAGGAGACAGAAGCCCAGCCAGGCTCCTGCTGAGAGAGTCCTGGGGGGAAGGGATGGAGGGGACACTAGGGTTATGGCCACAGGCACGGAAAAGATAAACATGAAGAAAGTAAGCTCACAAGCAGAGCTCGGGCTTGTGGGTAGCCTGGAAAATCCCGCTGCAGATAAAAAGAAGTTGCCTCCATTCATTCCCAAACGGTGACTGTGTCCTCAAAAGATCAAATGCCGGAAGAACAGATTTGCTAAAGCTCCTGGTCTAACATGAGGGCCATCCAACCTACAGGTCAGATGAAGACACTGCTTCCCCTTCAGGTGTTCTCATTTGCTGGAGTTCCAATCTCAAGAGCTGCCCTTGTGTGAAAGGCAGCTGTGCATAGTCTGGGATTAAGCCTCTTCAAGCCCCGCAGCCCCTGGGCTCAGGGCCTGATTCCCACATACCCCTCTCTGCAGCAAGCCACACTGGTGTCTTCATCACATACTCACTGAAAGTTTACTTTGTCCACTTGGAATCGTGTCTCAAAAATCCCTGATGTCAGAACTCTGCATCTCAGGAGGTCCTGGGGGGAAAAGAAGGAAGCAACTTGAGTTACGTTATGGTTTGCCTTCAAAATAAAGCTCTTGTGTAACCCAAATCGTCCACTTTTTCAAATAAATTCTTCCTCTGTAAAGAAAACAACAATAATTAGAAACTCAGGAAAATGTTCTCTCTCACCCTCCTGAGAAAACCATGATCAATGTATTGGTTTGGTCCTTCGAGACTTGATAACTGTGCTTTTAAGACTTTAAAACCATTTATGAATGCTTCTTACTGACATGCACCTGACCACCTGGTCATAACCCTGGTGTTCTGGAGCGAAATTTGTTGGTGTCCTGTTGCCACACCTGGACAGCCTCCTGCTGGGTTTCACAATGGTTTGGGTGAAAAACCAAGGACAGCGTAACTCTGCATCCATCATTCTTGCATCTTGTGGACTGGATGTGAGCTGATTTTAGGTTGACTCTCTCTTCCCTGCATATTTCCATTCTCTCTAAGATAAAAGATGATGTGGCCCTGAGGGCATGAGAAAGTCACACAGCCTCACAGAGCTGACATCTCTAGGACACTTGGCAGAAGTCAGGGTTCCTTCCTGACCACCAAATCCATTATGATATCAATAAAGCCGCCACTCTGCAATAATTCTAGAAGATGAGAAGCGGCACTTTCATTTTAGCATAATAAGAACTACTTAGACCGGGCTTGGTGGCTCAGCCTGTAAGCCCATGCTTTGGGAGGCTGAGATGAGTGGATTGCCTGAGCCTGTGGGTTCGAGACCCACCTGGGCAACTTGGCGAGATCTCATCTCTACAATAAATAAAAAAATCAGCCGGGCGTGGTAGTGCGCGCCTGTAGTTCCAGCTACTTGGAAGGCTAAGGCGGAAGGATTGCCGGAGCCTAGCAGATCGAGGCTGCGGTGGCTGGGAGCGGCCACTGCACTCTAGTCCGGGTGATGGAGTGAGACTCCAACTCAAAAAAACCCCAAAAAACTACTTAGAACAGTTGAGTCAAGTGAGGATTGACTGAAGACTAGGAAGCCACCGTTGCCTGGTCAGATAATTATAATAATAATTATTATTATTTTTGAGTTGGAGTCTTACTCTGTCACCCAGACTGGAGTGCAGTGGCCTCTCCCGGCCACCGCAGCCTCGACCTGCTGGGCCCCGGCGATCCTTCCACCTCAGCCTTCCAAATAGCTGGAACTACAGGTGCACGCTACCACGCCCGGCTAACTGGTCAGCTAATTATAAATTCTTAGGGGCAGCCTCAGAGAGAGAGAAAATTCAGAGAGGAGAGAGAGCACCTCAGACTTCGAGGGGAGGCAGAGGAGAGAAACCTGCAGGGCGCCCAAGGCCAAGGCCCTCCAGGGGCTACGGATGCTGGGGGAGTTTGTAACGTCTGGTTTGAACAGAAACCTCCTAACTTCCTTGGGGCTTATTAACTGTGGAAGCCTCTCGGGCTCCTGATCTGAGCAATCCAGGGCTGTTTAGTCTCCACAGGGGTTATGGGTCAAGGCGGCAGAGAGGGCCCCTCTCTGCTGTACAGATGTGCCACGTGACGCTGTTTTCTGGCACGATCCAAAAGAGATGTTTCGGAACACATCTGGAAAGTTGTGTCCCGGGGCCATAATCAGAATGGATGCAGTTTATGAAGTCAAAAAGTAAAGGCTTAGCACTTCTATGGGTAGTTCTAGAAGGAACGGGAATGGCACATTCCCAGTCTGCAGATAAACTCACTTGCATACTGGCAATTTAGATCCTGATAAAGTGGTAGAGCACCAAGTCAGGGGAGCGAGGCACAGGTTTGATTAACATGCCACACACACATGCAGGAGCAGCACAAATGGTTGCAAGAAGTAGTTGTTTTAAGAACTTTTTCCTTAATCCATTTACAAATAATGAAAATCAACCTCACACGCTTCCGATGGGTGGTGGTGGGCTCGAATTCCACATACCTGGTCTGTGGGTGTGTAGTCAACCAGACTGACGCTGTCGATTCTTTCCAGGAAGCTGCAAAGAAAGCCAGGACAGTTGAGGCATGCTCTCTGGTCCCTTTCCCCTGGGGTTGGGGAGTAAATTAATGGGACATTTACACGTGCAGCAAGGATGGGGGCAGGTTGAGAGACTGAGGTAAGTTCCCATTGTTTCCTGAGTCTGTGTCTGCCTAGATAAGAAAACATTCCTGATTCCTGACCAAGGGTGAAAGACTACATTCTTCTTCTTTCCTAAAATCCTCTCTCTTCCCCATCGCCGTAGGGTGGGAGGTGGGGGCACCTCAGAAATTGGGAAGGAGCTGAGGCCTCCCTTCCAAAGGCTAAGCTACTAGAAGAATGTGGTGCGATGCAAATAAACAATGAAAGGTGGCAGATGTTCCTTTAGTCTCAGTTTCTAATCAGATCCAAAAGATGTGTGTGTATATGTGTGAATGTGAGTAAATGTGTAAAAGTGAATGTGAAAGAGCATGCAATGTGTAATGGTGCTTGCAAGAGTGAGTGTGCGAGTGTGTGGTACATGCAAGCATGAGTGTGTAAGAGTGTGTGACTGTGTAAGAGTGTGTGGTACATGTAAGTGCAAGAGCAAGTGAGTGTGTAAGAGCATGTGGTGCACATACGTGTGAATGTGCAAGACTGCGAGTGTGTGGTACATGTGAGTGTGAGTGTGTAAGAGTGAGTGAGTGCAAGAGCATGCAGTACATGTATGTGTGTAAGAGCGAGTGTGTGAGTGTGTAAGAGCTTATGGTGCATATAATTGTAAGAGCATGTAGTACATGTATGCGTAAGAGCGAGCGAGTGTGTAGGTGCATGTGGTATATGTAAACATGAGTGTGCAAGAGTGTGTAAGAGTGCATGGTGCATGTAAGTGCAAGTATGTAAGAGTGCAGGTTTGTAAGAGCATGTGGTGTATGTGTGAGTTTGTAATAGTGAACGTATGTGTGTGCAAGAGTGAGTGTGTAAGAGCACCTGGTGTATGTAAGCATAAATGTGTAAAAGTGAGTGCGTAAGAGCAAGTGTGCGAATGTGTAAGAGCGTGTGGTGCAAGTAAGCACAAGTATATAAAAGTGAATGTGTGTGTAAGGGTGTGGTGTATACAAGCGTGAGTATGTAATAGCAAGTGTATGCATGTGTAAGAAGAGTGTGTGTAAGAGTGAGTGCATGTGTGTGTAAGAGTGTGTGGTGTATGTGTATAAGCATGATCATGTGAGTGTAAGAGCGTGTGTGAGAGTAAGAGTGAGTATGTGAGTGTGTAAGCGGGTGCAGTGCATGTAAGCATTAGAGTATGTGGTGCATATAAGTGTGAGTGTATAAGAGCAATGTGTGAGAGCGAGTGTGTAAGTGTATGGGTTTCCGTGAGGGTGGAAGAGCATGTGGTGCATGTAAGAGTGTATAAGAGTGAGTGCGTGAGTGTGTGAGCACATACGTGAGGGTGTGTACTGGCATACTTGTCTTAGTCCACTAGCATGAGAGCCATCCGAGGCGTCGTGTATGTTCCCCAACATGGTGGAGGAGAAGCCGGGAGAGGGCAGGCAGCACCCTTTGTGGGCAGGACCATGTACCACGGTGCTACTTCTCATTTCTAGGGCTCTTTCCGCTGGGAGGCTGCAGGTGTGCCCCCTCTCACAGAGGTGGACACCATGCTTCTGCAGAGCCTCCCTGCCCACCTTGTCTCAAGCAGCACCCTGCCTCTGTGCCAGCCTGGTTTTATCATCCTAAAGGCACTGGTTTTATCGTCCTACAGACACTTGGCATGGCCCGGCATGTTTTACATGGATTTGCCTGCTATTTGTCTCTTCCACTAAAATGTGGGGTCCCCGGGGCAGGTCTCTGTCTTATTGGTCTGGGTGTTCCCACCACCTTGAGCAAGGCTTGGGCCACAGTAAATATGGTGGAATGAATGAATTTCCTCTGTCCCCTCCCCCAGCCGAGACAGGAGGTCAGCAAGGGCTGAGAGGCCTAGGCCCGCATGGGCACCGGGAAGAGTTGGGGACTGGTTAACTGGAGACCAGAGGACACTTCTGGAGAAAGAGGAGACAGTAGGGTCTTCTGGACGGGAGAAAGAGAGACAGAGTTAGGAGAGAGGGGGCACTGGGTGGTCCCTGAGCATTGGGCCAGCGAGGCTCCAGCACTGGAGAGCAAGCGTGGACAGTCTGGAGGACCATGTCAGCTCCCTGCCGGCCGCCCTGGTGGGCCAGTTCTGTTACCAAGTTTACGGCATCAGCAGCCATGTGCTCAAGGGCAGTTTGTACAGTGGAGGGGGTGTAACCACCTCATCTCCACACGCTCCTGCTTCCCAGCAGGCCTTGTGATGCCCAGGGTGGGCAAGAGGGAGGTGAGGGGTTCCGAATATGCCACCCCAGATGAGCCACCTTGGCACACTGACTATTTTGAGCTGAAGGCACTGGAGAAACAGCAGATGTGGGACTGTCTGTCTGATCTTCCCCTCTGTGACTAAAGGCAGGTTGTAACATTTCCCACGAGGAAGGTGCCCACCCTCTACCAGGAAGAGGAGAATTTTCTTGTCACTGGAGACTGCAAGTTAACACCAAGATGGATCAGTACAAACAAACCCACTAAAATAACCCTTATCTTTCATTAGCTTCTCCCATGTATTTTCTAGTCATTGTCCCACAATTTACTGCCCCTGCTCCTTTGTTTCTTCTCCATTCTTCTGTTAAAAAAAAGTTTATAAGGCCAGGTGCGGTGGCTCACTCCTGTAATCCCAGCACTTTAGGAGGCCGAGGCAGGTAGGATTGCTTGAGCTCAGGAGCTCGAGACCATGTTATGTGGGCAACATAGTGAGACCTCATCTCTACAAAAAAATTTTAAAAATTAGCCAGGCATGGTGGTGCGCGCTTGTATCCCAGCTACTCAGGAGGCTGAGGCAGAAGGATCACCTGAGCCCAGGAGGTCAGCACTATGGTGAGCTGTGATCATGTCACTGTACTCCAGCCCGGACAACAGTGAGACCTGAGCTAAAAAATTTTTTTAAAGTTAAAAAAAAAAAAAGACATACAAGCTTTTATCTTTTTGTTTGTTTGTTTGTTTGTTTTGAGTTGGAGTCTCACTCTGTCGCCCAGACTGGAGTGCAGTGCGGCCACCGCAGCCTCGACCTCTGGGCTTCAGCGATCCTTCCGCCTCAGCCTTCCGAGTAGCCGGAATTACAGGCATGCACTACCACGCCCGGCTGATTTTTTTGATTTATTGTAGAGATG